TATAACTGTTATCAGACGTCTGACTTTGTATGTTATGTTATATAACTGTCATCACACGTCTGATGTTATATGTTATGTAATATAACTGTCATCAGACGTCTGATAACAGTTATATGATGTCAGACGTCTGATAACAGTTATATGACATCAGCCGACTGATGTCACATAACTGTTATCAGACGTTATGTAACATAACATATAAAATCAGACATCAGACGTGCGATGACAGTTATATGACAGCAGACGTCTGATAACAGTTATATGATGTCAGACATCTGATAACAGTTATATGACAGCAGATGTCTGCTGTCATATATATTATATAAGCGTTATATAACTGTTATATAACAGTTATATAACATATATGACAGCAGACATCTGCTGTTATATAACTGTTATAGTTATATAACATAATTATAACTGTTATAACGGTTATATAACAGTCATATAACATGTTATATAACAGTTATATAACTGTTCTATAACAGTTATATAATAACTGTTATATAACAGTAGTTATATATATTACTGTTATACAACTGTTATATAATTATGTTATATAACTGTTATATATCATATATGTTATATATCGTCATAGAACTGTTATATAACAGTTATATAACATGTTATGACTGTTATATAACAGTTATAGGACTATGTTATATAACTGTTATATAACAGTCATATGACAGCAGACATCTGACATCATATAACTTATATAACAGTTACATATAACTACTGTTATATAACAGTTGTATAACAGTTATATATGACAGCAGACACTACTGTTATATAACAGTTATATAACATGTTATGACTGTTATATAACAGTTATATAACATGTTATATGACTGTTATATAACAGTCATATGACAGCAGACATCTGCTGTCATATAACTGTTATCAGACATCTGACATCATATAACTTATATAACAGTTATATAACAGTTACATATAACTACTGTTATATAACAGTTGTATAACAGTTATATATGACAGCAGACACTACTGTTATATAACTGTTATATAACATGTTATATAACAGTTATAGAACTATGTTATAGAACTGTTATATAACATGTTATGACTGTTATATAACAGTTATATAACTGTTATAGAACAGTTATATAACATGTTATGACTGTGACATAACAGTTATAGAACTATGTTATATAACTGTTATATAACATATTATAAAAAACCTATGGTTTATTATACCGGTAAACCCATAGAAAAAGGCATCCGGACCACGAGCCATAAACAAAACCGGCTATTGATCTGCAAACAACGATTTTAAAAAGGCTAAAAAACAGAACAAGTTACTTACCCAGCCGTTCTTAATATTAAAAGCGTTAGTTTCCACATTTTATTACTGAGCCTCACAATTCGCTACTGCCATAGCTTTAGAATTTATAAAGTACAAAGCTGGAAAACAGTTTACATTTCACGACGATGCCAATCGCAGAGAAAGACAACAACTGTGTGAATTTCCGGTGTAGAAAGTCTCTAGGAAAACTTAACCATGTGCCAACCAACAACAAAACGGATAGTTTTAGCATTCTAGATTTATTTTATGTCAAAATTAAATTCCGTAATGAAAGAAATTGTTCCAAAAAGAGATCTCTGATCAAGATATGGTACAAAATCGGCCCCTGTATAGGTTGTACACAAGCTGCCAACGATGATGAAAGATGTGTGAGTTTCGGGCTGGTTTTTTCCAACATTTGCACAAATTATTCGGTGATATCGATGCCATAACCTACCTCAAACCACCTGACTACACGAATCGACAAATATTAACGCAAATATGTGGCTACGACAAAGAAACCTTTCTCCACCACTGACACATTTCCATCGGTCGCTGTACGTGCATATAAAGTTACATGCGACAACTTCGCAAATGCAGCCACGTCGTTACCGCAGCATTTCCTGATCATAGTAAAGTCCAGAAAACAGATCTTAAACCACTGCGGCTTGCAAAAAGTGAATGAAGTCCTCCATTACAATAGCTGTCAGTGCCGTCTGTAACAATGAAATTCTTACGACTGAACAAAATACAGCTGCGTACAGTCTGATGTTCAATTAATTTCTACTTCTGTAGTAAACAAACCATGAACGTATTCTTTCATTGTACGTTCCCATGAATGTGTGTTGACTTTTCCTGTAAAACGGCTTTCATAAGCTATCATGTAATGAGTGCAAAAACTCGTGTTTTGAAGTGCTGCTGAGTTTTGAGAAAGTTCAACGCTATTACATTTAAATCGTAAGTCATGATTGGCTTATGATGACTTTAGAGAGAAGACGTGACTTGACCAAGGTACTAGAACCATATTTTTTTTACCTAAAAGACTCCATTCTACTAGAAGTTATTTTATAAAAGCAATAGACCACACTTTCTATGGGTTTACCGGCGTGATAACCCACGCGGGATGTTGGGAGAACACGAGAAAAGCTTGTAAATCACGAGCCGAAGGCTGTTATATAACAGTTGTATAACCGTCATAGAACAGTTATAGAACTGTTATATAACAGTTATATAACATGTTATATATGACAGCAGACACTACTGTTATATAACAGTTATATAACATGTTATGACTGTTATATAACAGTTATAGGACTATGTTATATAACTGTTATATAACATGTTATATGACTGTTATATAACAGTTATAGGACTATGTTATATAACTGTTATATAACATGTTATATGACTGTTATATAACAGTTATATGACAGCAGACATCTGCTGTCATATAACTGTTATCAGACGTCTGACATCATATAACTTATATAACAGTTATATAACAGTTACATATAACTACTGTTATATAACAGTTGTATAACAGTTCTATAACTGTTATGTAACTGTTATATAACAGTTATAGAACTGTTATATAACTGTTATATAACAGTTATATAACTGTTTTTGACATGTTATATGACTAATATATAACAGTTATATATGACAGCAGACATCTGCTGTCATATAACTGTTATCAGACGTCTGACATCATATAACTTATCAGACGTCTGCTGTCATATAACTGTCATCAGACGTCTGATGTTAGATATCCTTTTCTCCTCAACTCGGCACTTTTATTTTTGATAATTGTAAAGATGACAATAGAGTGTGAGAGAGATCAATATATTATTGAAAACAAGAGAAAACCAAAGGTTACGGAGTGTGGGCGTCCAAGGCTGTGCTTCGCACAAGTTTCACTTGATAGATGTTCCACACACGCGTGATCAGATTCTAAGTGACCAGAGAAGATCCAGATGCGAGTGATCAAATTGCTTTCTGTGAATTCCTTTCATCCTTATAAAAGGAAGTCCAAACGAATGCCGGCTACATACCTGTGATGCATGCATAATAATAACCTGAAGATGAAAACTGCGGGCTACTCTTGTCGTCCGCAATAAAAGTGGTTAATGACTCCCCGTTGCATGTCGTTGAAGGTCTCTGTAAGTGTCTCATGTTTTATTTCTGAGGTAGTTTAGCTGAGCAATTAAATTCCCAAAAAGTGCAATTCACTTCAATCAAAGTGTAAAAATGAAACATCTTATCTTTCCAAGGGTGAAAAACGGCATACTGTCTCTCACAAACAAGAGAGCAAAAAGACCAGCCATTCCTCTCCGCCATGCAGAATTTCCTTGAGTAGCCTGACCTTTTGTTTCTTCCGTGTGCAGTCTTGTTCGTTCCATCAGGAGGTGTCTCAAAAATATTAATGAAGTGTTTTGATGTGTCAGGGGGTGCATGTATAATATTGTAATGCTTTAACTCAAATTAATTCTGCCCTTCAGAACTCAACTTGCTTCTACGTGGCTTTCCCTTGTGACAAGAATCACTTACACATTCTTTTAAAATAATTTAAGAAAATCTCTCAGAAAAGTAAGTAACAGGTATTTTATAGGGTTACCTTGCACTACTTTGAAGAAAATGGGAATGCAAAAGTTTTTTAGGCCGCTTTCTTCCCGTTTTGGAGTCTTTTCCGGACCAAAACAAAAAGGCCATGACCCCTCCCTCCCAAGGGCACAATGTGCCTCCTTCCGTGCATATTTGAGTGGGGTCCATAGCTAAAAATAATTAGTGCAACTAGTACTATCACTGTGCCGAGTTTGATGCTTTTACCCCAAAGTGCACAATTCAGCTATTTTTTTCACACCATATGGCTGGACTAAATTTAAATGCTCTCTCTATTGAGAATCACCACTTAAACAAAAGATCTTATTTAACAGCCATTAGCACACCAGAGCTGGAACATGGCAAATGTATTATTTCACTGTACATTTCAAGGACCAACATTCTGCTTACATGGCAGGCTGATGTTAAAAACAAGGGCATCCAACCCCGGTTTCCTCCTAATACATTGAATTTACTTTTTAGGCTATCGAGAGTACTTTTAGATATCTAGAAAAGCATGCTAGGCAGCAGTGAAGAATTTGTACCTGTTTGGTCATCCTTAAGGAACTCAAGTCTTTCAAAATTACAGGGGTTCAGCACTTTTTCAGGAAAATTTTAGACGCAATTTAACATATTACGAAAGTGATAAATTTTTTACTCCTCTCTCCATCACATTTTTCAGTCACAAACTTTTAGGTTTTCTTTCTTTCTACGAAAAATAACATACCGGTACTCTGGGGAGTGAAATGTGAACTTCACTTAATTGTAAAGAATTTATTAAATAAGCTTTGAAAATAGACCTTTCCCACATTCCTGTAAACAAAGGCATCAAGTTGAGGCTCGGGTGGACAAAATACAGTGATTTTAAAGAAATTGTCCACCCGAGCCTCGAGCTCATTTCTTACATTTGCTCAGTGGAGTGGAATGCAGGAAAGGTTTATCGCACATGAATGGAATGGTCATCTAGAAATTTTAATTCATCCTCAAGTAATGTAAAAATATAGGTAATATTAACTTCTGCAAAGAGCTATTTAACAGAAAACAATTGTTGGCTGCTCCCTTTTTGATGGTATCAAAGAATTCTTCTTCTTTCACCTTACATTTCAGTGATCAGTGGCATTTTCTTTGGAGGTTTTGTTCCTCTCCAAGTTTTTTCCAGCCTTTCAGTTTCTTCCTTATGTTGTTTACAGCTCTCTGTTACCTCTGCATGTAAAACTTGTACACTTGAGACAACAGATTGCAAAACAGTGGTGTTCGAATGAATCCATGCTAGTAAAAATTCAGTCTTTTTCTTGGCAAGCCACAAGGATCTGCATAAGTTTGTGTCCTTCTGTTTCATCTTCATATCCAACTTTAGTTTTTCTCTTACTCTACTAAGAAATCTGCACAAATCAGAGAGAGCACAATCTGTAAAATTTGCTCTCTGAGCTACATCATGTCCTTGAATCAGGTTTATCACATCAAGAAGTGCACAGTGAGACAACTCTTCTGAATACAATTCCTTACAATTCTGCACAACACTGAGTGAGTTATAGACTACAGATTCTATACTCTCAAAGACTGCATTTTGAGACAAAACTGCAGAAAGCTGCATTAAACTCTCTGCTGCTTGATATGAGGTGTCATCTGGGCATCCATTGTAAAGCCTCATTATGTAAGCATATGAGAACAGAACATCAATGCAACTAAACAGAATGTTTGGATTTGGTTTTGTCTGTTTCATCAGTGAACTTAAAGATGGTATGTTCCTTTTCACAGATGGGATCTGCTGACCTCTAACTTCTTTGGCCTCCACAGGGTTACTGTTGCTTTCCTCAGAAACACTATTATCTTCACTTAAATCCTCAATTTTTTTCCTAGAAAAGTATTATTATATATCTATTAGTAAAGAACAACAACCTTTAATTAACTTCTTGGACAATAAATTATTAGCAGTAGCTAAAAATTCCTCATAGTGTGTTTGAAAAATGCTTGGCTACTGAAAAGAGCCAGTTGAAATAATCCAACTGATCTTGCAATCTCAATAATTCAAAATTTTTTTCCCTTAGCTTCACTACAAGCAGCCCCAAATCTAAACCAGTCTTAGCTTTAGAACTGAACTTTATAGGAGTAGGAAAAATAATTTTCTACATAATGTTTTCTGCAATGACTCAAAATAAAGATTTGTATTTGTTACTGTCATTTGTATTTGTTTCTGGAGCACCTTGAAGTACAGATCATCATTAAAACTTGCCAAGAAAGCTTTGAAACCTGTCAGTAAAGCATCCATTCTTAACTCTTGCATCGGATTCCATTACTATGCTTAATTGTTATATCTCTCAGACCTTGAAAAGCAGTAAGCATATATACAATGATTGCAAAGACAATGAAAGAAAACAGCTTTTTACAATAACTGAAGGATTGCTTACACACTAGTCGGTTTAAAGCTATGGTCGAAAAGAGTACAGACCATGGAAATGATGGCACTTATTTGTTTGTCTCTTTTTTGAGTGCACAATATTTTGAAAAACTTCAACAGAAAAGGATGTCAAAAACAAGTTAGGACACAGCGCAAGAAAAGAAAATAGAAAAAAATAGAAAAAGCAGTAATATGAAAAAAAAAAACAAAAGCTAACTGGATAAATGAGTGTTGAACCATAAAAAACACTTAACCCCAATCTTTAAAAAAAAATTAACCCTAAACAGCACTTTACTCTAATCCGTAAAGCAAGTGCTTCACCCTAGTCAGTAAAATGAGTACTTAACTCTAATCAATGAAAGTCGCCCAATACTGGACAATTCTGCAAATATTCCAGCAGTAAAACCTCACACATCCAGGGTGCAAAGAAAATCATTTTTACAGCTTGCCATTCGGGCAAGCTAAAGCTAGCATTTACTAGCCCAGACATCATTTCAACTAGCCCCAAAAGCTTTTTGTCGAGCAGAATTGATTTCACACTTCTTCTGTTATTCGAATTCCTCAAAGAACATCACTTGCCCGTCGGGCAAGTTAAAACAGATTTCACTAGCCCAATAGCAAAATCCACTAGCCCCGGGATATCGGACACTACTTTCTTTGCACGCTGCACATCTATAGGAAACTAAGCAGGAACCATTTTTCGTGCATTTGCAATTCCATGAAAACTCTTTTTTTTTCCATGGCTTGCGTAGCTCGCTGGGTCACAGACTGTTGCGCTCCTCAAAAATTGTCAATGTTATTCCAAAAAAGCAAATTGACCACAATTTTCCATGGGGCGTACGTTACAGGTCAAATTTGATTTCAGGTTAATTTTGATTTAACGTAGGTTAATTCTCAATTTCCTTTGTTTCCTAGGAAATTGAGAATCAACCTATGATGTCAAAATGAACAAAACTTTGCACTGAAAACTTTGATAACTTTGACCTCTCTTCTAAGGCTGATAAGAATACAGACCAAGGAAAATTGTTGTCGATTTGATAAATATAATAATTAAGGGTGATGTTCGAGCAACTTTACCCTATTGCAATGGGGAAGGGGGAAAATTGTGGAAAACGACCACATTTCCCCACTACCCCTCCCCTGAAAAAAGATGACAGGCAAAAGTTTCAAAACTAACCTGTTTTGAGTATCATATCTTGGAGTCCACCATGGGACCCAAATGTCAATCATTTCGTAAATATGTCCAGTTTCCACGGCCGCTTCAAATTGCTTTCGCTCCTTCTCGGTCATGGCCGACCAAATAACTTCAGCATCAGTCGTGTTGAGGTCGATCTCGCCCAATCGTTCCTCCAAATCGTCAGTGACAAAATCACCGTTCGCTTCCCTATCTTCTTCCTCCAGTTTCCTTAACATTTCAAGCATTTTTCGTTTACTTTCGCAGCTTGCTTCTTGTTCACTCAACGTTGTCATGACGCACTCTTTGTAAAACAGTTCGGAGCATTGCCGGTGTTTTTGGCTCTTATAACAAGTACTGGAGCAATAACGAGCACTACAACGAGGGCAAGTGTACTTTGAAATATTATGTGAGCAAAACTCACAACGAGACTGGCAATGATGTGATGAAAGAACGCTCTCGAAAACTCCTTGAGTGCCGTCCGCCATCTTGTTTTATTCTCTAGCCCAGTCCATCCGGCTCAAATTCGCGCAGAATTCTGGGAAAGGTGCTTTTCTGCAAACCAAGCTGGTCAGTGGTCGCACATACCGACCAAAAGTGGTCGGTTGTTCAGGTGGTGTTTGTTGTGCAAAAAAGAAAATGATTGATTCCTACTTTACTGTAGCAAGATCTAAAGGTGCAAAACGAAAGCAAGATGAGGAAGACAGCAAGTGTAATCAGAATCACAAAGTTGCCTTAATGGATGGGACATGTGATGTGGCTAGTGGCTCAAATCAAACTTCTGTAAATTCAAAATTGTCGTTTCTTCAAATGAATAGAAAACAGAGTCTTCACTGGAAAAGGATAACAGCTGAAAACCTGAATCTTGATTACATTCAGCTCTTCTCTAAATCCGAGGCTGATGCCCTCTTTCAAGAAGCAGAAAAGTTGATAAAGTACAATGCTGATAGCAAGGTGTTTGTTTATGGGAAGTGGCACAAGATTCCAAGAAAGCAAACTGCTTATGGAGATGCAGGTCTAAATTATACATTTTCTGGCACGACAGTTCCTGCACAACCATGGGACAATGCGCCTTTCCTTAAAGATATCAGTGATTTAATATCCTCTTTAACAAATCATAAGTTTAACTTTGTCCTTGTGAACAGATATAATGACGGCAGTGACCACATGGGCGAACACAGGGATGACGAGGTTGATTTGGTGTCCAAAAGTGCCATAGCATCCGTCTCTTTAGGTCAACACAGGGACTTTGTATTTCGACATAAGGACGCCAGAGGAAAAGATGCTAAAAGAAAGATTGATCCTGTTAAGCTTGAACTATCACATGGAAGTCTGCTAATGATGAATCACCCAACTAATGTGTATTGGTTCCATTCTCTCCCTGTGCGGAAGAAAGCAATGTGTCCAAGGATAAATTTGACTTTTAGGGAAATGGTTGTTAAACACAAAGCTAGTGCCTAGTGTAACTAAGTTAAGAGGCCAGTGGGGCTCCTTTTTCACCCTGTAGGGTGGTGTGTACAAGACTTTTGTCTGAAAGTCAGAAATGCTGCAGCAAAAAGTTGAAAACCCTAAAACAGAGAGAAACACAAACACGGAGCTTTACTTTACTTGACATTATAAAGAGACTGAGATTTCATGATCAGATTAAAAGTTTCCGAACCAGTACTTTCTAGATTTCCCCCTTACCTCCTGTACTCTGTGTTAATGGTTTTCATTTCTTCCAGCTGTACCTCTAAACTGAATAGCCAAATAGACATGCCCATCGTATTTAAGTGTGAATGTTGCTGCTATCATAACAAGAACTCCTCATTTGAAGTGTCACTGAGGAAAGCTTGAAGTGTATTTTCTTTTACTATAAAAATTTATAGAGTGTCCTATGCAAACAATCTTTGTTTCTCCATGAAATTGTAGGGGCTTTTGTTTAGGTGTAGATCATTAAAATCCATTTGCACTTAGATTGCATTTTAAGGAAAGGCTCTTTCAGTAATATATTATGTACTATGAATATTCTTTTTTAGGGGCGGGGAAAGGGTGGTGGCAGGTGGCAGTATGTACCCTGAGGGGACTCCCTAGAAATACCTATACCTATAACTGGTTCTATTTCAACCAAAAAGGAAAAGAAATCAGGTATAATGGTATATAGTAATACTGATAGTCTTGAATTCAACTCCAAAATTCCCACTGGCACTCCTTCAAGACCTCAGACACACAACTCACCACATTCCCCTACCCAAACAGAACGCCAAGCAATGATCCCCTCTGTCTTTTACAGCAGCATATATAATTTGACAAGTGTAATTATAAAAAGCTATCAATTGCAAACTGTAAGTGTCTTTGGTTATAAACAGACCAAACTCGGCTCCTCTTTCACTTTCCCTTGGACCAACCTTGTTCCTAGGGTTCTCTCTCTTGCTTTGACAAAGATCAAATCCTGGTCATGTGGAAATGAGGTTTAATAAATTACGCAGGAGGGGAGGTTCTCCACTACATTTTGTTGACTGGATGATGAAATACTATCTGGGGTAGGGAGAAAATTCTTTCTTCAAAATAGTGCTTGAGTTTCAGAGCTGGCTTCAAAGAGTGTTGCTTTTGGCTAATTTCTATAGCATTCTTTTGAAGGAAAATAGGTTATTTGTTTAGAGAGTTTGTACTTGAAAAAAGATTTGCTTGCTGTTCTGCCAACAGGATATGGAAAATCTTAGGCGACTTGCATGTGCAGACTTCGCTTTTTGTTAATTTGCATACTCTGCACATGCAGTTCATGACAAGGAAGTGATAATGCACCACCCAGGTGGCAGTTTAAAGTTTATTATGTTATTTCAGGAGCCCATAACCCGGAGTGAGCAACTCCCATACTAGGCCTATGTCACAGCATTTTTACTGACCGGTTCATTTGTAGACACATTTTAGGGCAATTTTTCCCATGAAAATGAATCTCTGCCACATCTATGAACGCATTTGAAGTGTAAGATATCAAAAATGAAAACGTAGCGTCATTAAAAGGCAAAAATTATCATTTTTAGGTCTGTATGTTTTGCTGACTGATTTGTGGGACTTTAAAGATATTTTAAATTTGTGCCAAAATTGTTCTAAAAATAAACTGGTCCATGAAAACGCCTTGACACAAGTACATGGAAGTTGCTTGCTCCAGGTTAGGGGCTTCTAGTTATTTTTTGCTTCAGTAGCCTGTGTACAGAACCCTTCTCTCCTCAGGAAAGGTCAATTTTCCTGAGGGAAGGGGTCTGTACACAGGCAATGCTCTGGCTGGTGCATGATATACCTTGTTCTCAGTGTTGCTCCCTCTTGCAATTATGCCATACCATTTTTTCGGGTGTTTTTGACATTTTCAAATACCCCTGCCATCCGCTGATAATGAACGAGGTGGAAAACTCCGATCCTCTTAGACCCTGACAGAAAAGTTTTGCCATAGCGACAATTTACCCTTCTTCCCCTCCCTTGTTTTTGGGAGCCACGTGACCATCAGAGGTCGAGAAAAGATAGAACCCTGGGAACGAGGTTGGGAATAGCCTTACGTAATTATGTGACGTCATAAGACAAGGTCTCTCAGGTCGTGACCAGTCCTGCTCGGCTAACTTCATTTTAGAACAACAATGGCAGAAGCTCCAGGGGGATACTCGCTGCGAGAAGTTGAGATGAATACTGACGATAGATATGGCTTTAAGAGAGAATATAGGAAACAGAAGTAAGAATCCGTTATTTATATTGCATTCTGTGTGACTTTTCAATAGATCAGTAGTTTGCTCTATGGACCTTTTTCGACAGCACGCACGTCTTCCTCGAAGGTCACCTGAGCGGTGCGATTTTTACGTTCATGGAAGCTCTAAATCATCGGAGATTTATTACCATATATCGAGGAATTTCCCAAACCATGGTTAAAGTGAAAGAAAGCTGTGTATGGCTTTTAAAAGGAAATCTAAGTGTTCCATTTATATAACATGTGGTGCAAACGCACACGCTTATTCTTTTTTTATGCTTACCAACTGCATTTGTCTGGGGCAGTGACTTCTCCAAAGGACGATAATTCCCTTCTAAAGGGCACTGTTTCAATGTCTTTTGTGACTTGCAGAGTAATGAACCACCGCTTTAAAATTTTTGGGCAGATGTTCTCAAAAAAAGTGTTGTAAGTTTTTAGCAAATCATGAATGAAATCACAGTTGTAGATTGCCGCTGTGCATTTTTAAAACGGAAGAATGCCGACGTAGTAAGTGTAATCGAATTCTTTAACAGTAGGAAGTATTTTGACTGTTAGTTGATAGGGGTCTGATAGGTATCTACATCTATGACTTTCGTTTTTAAAATAGTAAGTGATTTCTAATTATGATGGTAAACACATCCTAACTAAAGTACTTATTTCATTTTTAGCTTAAGTGAACTGCTGTTAAGTAGAATGTATAAGCTCACATGAATTCATAACATTTCAGGCTGAATTTTAGAGACATGGAAGTTGGAACAGAAGATAACAAGGAAAGCAAAAGAGGAAAAACAGTGAGTTGAAGTGACAAATATAGACAAGAAAAAAATCCCAGAGTCTGTCGCTACTGTCATTTTAAGTTATAAAGGCAAAAATTAAAGCTAATAAAAAGCATTCAGAGATTTGGGATTAAGCAGAAACAATCACCCTTCGATCCCCTACAGTAAAAAAATTAGTTTCCAAATGTTGGGAATTATTGTCAATCCTCACAGGAATAAAGGGATGTGTCAGGAACATAGAAACTCTCCAGATTCTCCCATTTGTTTCCCTGACCACATGATTCCAGATGATCAGGGATATAATAATATTGATTTCAAGGCTTTGTTAAAGCTGGCCTAATCTGGATGGTCAGGGAAACAGCAATATTGCTGATCATTTGAAATCTTCCCTACAAATGGAAACCAGGGGTGCTTACCATTTATGTGGGAAAACCAGAAATTTTGTTGGAATTGCAAATGGTTCGCTTCATCCCATTTGGGAATGCTTCAGAAAATATGGGCTGTGTTTTAATGTGATGAAATTTTTCAACCCTTTTTAGTCAGTGTTCAGCTGATCTCGATATACTTTGTAGCAAGTCATTCTCCCTCCACATCAAATTTTATAGTTTTATGTTCATGCACAAAATTTTCACATGGGTAGTTTTTATAAATGGCAAGCACCTCAGGCTTTAAATGAGTACCATCAATAGAAATTTAAGGTGAAGGTTGATCAAATTTGCCTATTTACAAGTTACCTTTAACTTAAAGAAATGTTCCTGCCAAGAAACACAGCAGCTGCAAATTAACCAGTTGAATTTTGCTGCTTGCACGTTTATTAGTTTGTTTAAAACTGCAACTTGTATGGATTGTGTTCAACTGTGAAAAATTGTGGAAACTTACAGTAGCTCTGTTTTGAATTTATTTCTCAAATTTTTAAAAAATGTGATTTGTGTCATTAAATATACCAGTAGCTAGTGCTACATAATTCATATGAAAAATGTAGTAATATTATTTTTAGAACAAAGGTTAACCTAATCCCTCATCTTCTTAACTATCTTATAGTCGTAAATTAATAATGACCCCTTCTCATTCCATTAAATTAGTTTTTAATAATAATATTATTATTCATCTTCATTTTAGTCTGAAGAACAAAACAATCCATTCAACATGACTGCAAAGAACTTTCCAAAAAGGAGGTATGTTTTTTATTCTTAATATTGTTATGTCCAGGGCCCTATTAAAAAATCAGGATTATATTAATTTTTCTGTTCCATTTTGAATAATATTGTATTTAAAAGCTAACAGATTCATTTTATCAAATGTTTCTGACAGGAAAATTAGAAAGGCGAAGAAATATGTTTATTCTACTGTACTTTTTTTTATTTCAGAAGCCGAACGCATCCTTCTGTGGCCTCCTACAATCGCACCAGGTACAACTGTGTTTTAAATACCTGCCAACAACGTTTTTTAAATCAAAGGCATGAGGTTTTTTGGAGAGTACTACAGTGTAGGATTATTTGCAGAGGACCCTATCGCAGGGTTCACACAGTCTTGAAAAGTCCTTGAATTTTAAGGGAAGTCCTTGAAAAGTCCTTGAATTTCATTTTTTCTTGAAAAGTCCTTAAAATGTGCAAGTCCTTGAAATGTCCTTGAATTGTTTTCAACTTTAAATGTAGTGACCTGGAAAGTGTTTTTTGATGCTCTTTGGTTGTCAATATTTTATGCAATAATTAACTATCAATTTAAGACAAGTGAACTGAAAAATGTAGAGAAGTTAGTGAAGAAAACAGTTCAAGCCTTAAAGCCTTATAAGAATGGACTGGGAATTGGCATTTATATACAATGTGTGATTCCAAAAAACATCCATACCCCCCCCCCCCCTCACTGATGGTCAATGGACTTTCCTAAGGGTTGGGGGGGCTAAAGGTTAGACATTTCCGAGGGGTATGGGGGGTGCCTACGAGAAGAATTTTCCACAGGGTTGTAAAAGACGCGATCGATCGTACGAGACATACGAGGCATGAAGTCTTTAAATAAATGTCGTCCTTCAGGCAAATCCATCGCAATTCTCGCTGCAATTCTCAACAGGTCCCTTGCTTCTCCGGGAATAAATTTTAGCGCATCGATTAATAATGTCGAACATGTATCCAGATTGCAGACTCGATTGCAGATTAGTCTGATAGAAACTTAGGCTAATCGAGAACAAACGTCGTCTATCTCGGCACTATATTTCTTGAGCTTGTGTAAACAACTTTATGCAAATTTCGGTTGACATTCAGGGAGTTCATCGCGACAAAGCGTTGCGTGACGACCCAAATGAGAGCTTTGCTGTATTTTATTATTGACTTCTAATAAAGTACCGTTGAAGGCAAGCTGTTTGTCGAACAGACTTCAAGCCAAATCAACTTTTGCCCAAAAATATTAATGATCTGTTTCTTCTTTGTCGAGGAGACTTTCGATCACATGCTAAGCAACGAAATAGATCATGTTTCACCGATGTTCATTTCTGAACATGAATCGATGCAAATATGGGACTCAAAATGAATGTTTGCATATTTTGTTCTTTTAACTTTGAAGTTATGCTGTAAATGTTGCTTTTGAGATGAAACTGACTAATAGACTAGATGTGTACATTATTGAAACTTAATTACGGTATCAGAAATCAACTTTGGGACCAGAAGCCGAAGATTTACTGATAAACTTTGCCTGTATTAAAAGAAGATTCATTTTGAAATTTGAAAATGTTCATATAGTTTTATTTCAATGAATAGTTCAAATTTGAAGTTATGCTGTAAATGTTTTCTTGAGATGACAAAAACATATTAATCTCTGTTTTCGTGCCTCGTGCGTTTTGCTGGATGGACTAATAAAAAAGAGAGACTGCTCATTATCAAGCATGCTCTACCTGCGTAAGAAATATAAATTGCTTTTTAAAAAATTACAAATAGGTTAGAGATTATAAAAAACTGTGTCTTAAGATGAGAACAGTTAACTTTAAACGGTACACGGTCGATAATCTCTAAATGCGGCAAATAAACACCATGAAAAGGAAAATAGGAAATTCCTGGGGGGTAGGGGGTTATATATGACCCCTCAGGAGCGAAAATTCCGAGGGGGTGGGGGGGTCTAATTGGAAGAACCATCCGTGGAAGGGGTATGGATATTTTCTGGAATCACACAATCTGTGAAATTGTATTCCTAGTAGGTGGTCCTTGAAAATCTAATGTGGTCCTTGAAAAGTCCTTGAAAAATAGTTGCAATTTTTTGTATGAATGCTGAATCATATCTGAAGGTACAACCTAAGAAGTTCCATTGCATTCCTTTTTATCATTGAAATGAAACTGAGATCAGGGTTCTCTGAAAGCTCTTGTGATTGGTAAAAGTTTTCATCCTCTCATTACTGAAGCATTGGCTACTCACAATAGAGAGAGACACTGAAACTTTTTTTTCCACCGTAGTCAAGTTTGGAAGACATTGTAATCAAGTGGCTTACATTATTGTTATTTCCTATTCACAGGGGAAGCACAGTTAGTGCTAATAAAGCCCTAGAACTTGTTCGAGCAGCCTTGCAACCATCGCTCAATGCGGAAATTGAGTCTGTTTTGAAGAGCTACCAGGAGGTTTGTTTTACCAGTGCAGCACATGTTAATAGATAAATGAGAAGATAGCCAATAATGTCACAACTTAAATGACCAATCAGGTCAATATCCAGAGTTGAATACTGATATGATACACTTAGATTGACCCTTAAGATGACTCCAGCACAGGTTGTCAAAACATCAGTCACTATCAACAACAGTCATATTCAGGATTACACTCACCCAGATGATCATATTCCACCTTCTTATGAAATAATGCCTAGGTTCAAAACATTCAAAGGTGATCAATTGTTTCTTTTGCCAGATGTTTCGCATGGCTGCACGTAACATCAAAGACAACACAAGTGAACCTGTCTCAGAGGAACAGATAAAAGCTGTGTTAAGACGCAGCCTTGATGAGGTACCAATACTCTTAGTAAAATTTCTGGTACCCATTCTAGTCTAGCCCTGGTGACGTTGAGTCATTTTTGAACTGGAGTGTTCAGAGTTCAAGCTGCAGCATACAAACGTATAAAAACAATTACAGTCCTGACTTATTGTCTTTCACAATTCCCCATCACCTTAACCTTTTCACTGGACCCAGAACAGGCCAAAGTCAAAACTGGACAGATATCCAAATATTTACTTTTTAAATGCCCCCTAAAATTAGTACCATTACGGTACTGTAACAATACTACCAAAGACGTTTCATCAGACAGGGGATTTTAGAACCAACTTAATCCTTTAAGCCCCAATATTCACATGCAAATTCTCCAAACTGATCTCCATACAGTTTCTGTAAGAATTAGTTGAGAGAATTTGATGAAAGATCGTGGCATTTTCTCTTTGGTGGTCATTTTATTAATTCTCGTAACTTTATCTCTTGACAATGTATGGATATTGTTTGCAGAAAATTGTTGTTGGTCACTATAGGCCAGTTGCACTAAGAGGTCACGTGACCAATGCTTCCTTTAAACAATGAGTTGGAATCTTGCTGATGCCATAAATTGACAGAGCACATAAAAATTATCTTACACCCGAAATTTGAGGGGAAACGCATTTAAGGGAGATATTTTATGGCACTTTGATTTTTCGACAAAGCAGTATGATTTGTATTGGCCGCCATGTTGGAGGGCATATTCTTGCCCTCCAACATGGCGGCCAAAAGTACTTTTTGCTTCTATCTTGTTGAACGTTTGATAGTTGCACTCAGATGTGCTGTAAGCGTTACCACATCATCTTTTCAACATTTCCCTTGAACTTTGAGTGCAAAATTTGTCTTCTGAAAGATGTAATTCCTAATCTTAAAAATCACATTTTGGTCACGTGACCAGCTACGAACTTACTCATTTTAAGATAATGGTGCTGGTTTGACAAACCAAATCACTATTATTTTCTTTAAGATATGACGCGCTAATCGTTTTTCGAAGGCAAAATCATATAACTTTCATTTTCATAAAAACGATGCCTCTTAGTGCAAATGGCCTATTGGGACTTAAAGGTTAAAAGACTCCATCATTCACCTTAGGAGTGAGATAGCCTCTTCCAGGCTACAGTATAGTAGTGCTGTTGTGCTGTAAAAGGTGATGCAAAAAATGCACGTGGGGGCTGGGGAGAGAGAGGTGGCATATCTTATTTTTGCTTGCATATGATATACAAGGGGCAAATGCTTTGATCTTTTATCAAAATCTTTGCATGTTGGTGTCGTGGATTAAAGGATGGACACCAGTGTAAGCCGCAGTGTATCATGAATGTTTTAATGTCTGACTTCAGCAGTTACATTTTATGTCTTAATATTATGAAATTTTAAGTATATTAAATTTTGGCTTTACCCTGACTAGCTACTGGCCCTTATGCATGATTACATCAGACAAGCAAATTTCACCACCAAACCTCACTTTTAAGCAAAATTCTTTGCATTTGCACTATTTATTTTGTGCATGGATATTCTTTTCAACTCTAAAAGACATGGAAATTCATTTATGCAAAACTCTGTTGCTTTACACTATTTCAAAATGAGGCTTAGTGGTGCAATTTGCTTACTGACCTAAACATGCATTAGAGCTATTAAAATAATGAAATCCCTGTGTTCAACAGGCTAAGGTCTTGTTCAGAATGGACAACAAAATTCACCCAGACAGCAGGGTAGGAAAATATTGCTATTAGTTTGTTTTCTCAATTAGAGTGATTTTCGTATGAGCTTGAAATGAAAATGTAGAAACAAAAAATGAATGGAAGTAGAGCAATTTGATTGGTTTATTTAATGGATACAAGCACATTTGGCTTTTGGTTCCAGGTTAAGCGAACGCTCAGGTGAAAAAACTTCATGCCTGAGAACTTTCTAGAAATCAAGCGATACTTCGCTTTGATGTCACACCGCAACACAATTGGCCAATAGAACAATGCCTTCTCCACATTAGGGTTTTCTTTGGCATGAAAACAAAGAGTCCATGTTTTGATCTTTTCATCCATTGGTTGATAAAACAAATAACGAACACTTACCGAAACCATTTTTCAAGATCATACGAAAATCGCTCTAACAACAATTGCACTGAGTGTGTGAGTTTCTTGACATTTAAAAAGCTCTATGATCTCTAGATCATATTGTACCCCTTGGTGATGTTAAAAGAAAATTGAACCACAACATATCTTCTGGTTTTTTGAAGGAATGTCTTAAGTTTTTCCATTTCTTACCATATATTTGTTTCAAACTCATTATTATTAAAGGGAAAGTTTATTACCTAAATCCAAGGATAAAGTTGAACCACAACAGATATATTGTACAGTTTGTGAGCACACCCTGATTGATTTCTCTTCAATATTATCAAGCAACTGCCCATCAGGCAGTCATGATGTTACTCACTCTAGAGCTTTATATAGCCACTTCACTTCTTAAAAGAAATTTCAGTTGATAGAACTACAATCTATCGTAGCAGTGGTTGCTGCCGGGTATTCATATTGTGATTGCTTCTGCTGATTACTAAGGGCCTGTTTACATTGAGGCAGGGAGCCCCTGTAAGTGAGGTAACCTTCCTGTCCATATAATGGCTCATATAGTCACCACACCTACCATGTAAATGTGATCAAATTAACATGAGTTTATATGGACAGGCAGGTTATCCCACTTAAGCAGGTTACCTCACCTGCCTAGCGTTCCCCGCCTCAATGAAGACAGGCCCTATGAGTTATTTCTATAAAATCGCTATGCATGCTGAACTTTTTTCAACTTTCCTAATGATCACAACAACCAATAAGCATCAGTCATGAAGAAACCACGTGTATTTATTGCTGTATTGGTGCAGTGAATTAGCCAGTCAATAACTGAAGATGTAGATATAATTTTTCAGTGCTTCTTGTTAAAGAAAGATTTAATTTTTTTATAGATGAGATATGAAAGGGGAGGAAGCCCAGCAGTTGTGAAAAAGGTTTGTGTACTATTCTTAAAACTGAGGTCATGGAATTAGCTTTTCCTATACACCTGATGCACTTGTCTTGCAACATTTTTTTTTTTTAATTTTGCAGAAGAGGTCGCGACCTGATCCAGACAAAGAAAGGTATTGACTCAAAGTGTAATTTGACTATTATGAAATAAGTTTCTGTCGATTAGTGTTGAAATGTACTGTACGAGTATATGACAATATTATTATTGCACCAATCATACAAAATATACTGCACGTAGTCATAGCAACAAAAGTGTTAGTGTAGCAGTATGAGAAGGTTGCACAAACTGTTACTTACTCCTAACTCTTACTCCTCACAGAATTACAAGAAAACTTTCTATTAAGTCTATCACTATCGTGGTTTAAAGTGAATAGAAGTTGCATTGAGGAACTGATCCTTTGTTACCACCTATTTTTTTATTGCTTTTAGTGATGAGTCATCACCAGCCAAGTCAAACAAATTGGAATCCAGAGTAATCACCTTTGATGTAAGTTTAGCTTATTATCTCCGTCATGAAATGAGAGATACACTGCACATTCTGCAACAAGTGTTGATAGACCTATAATTTCAGTAATGGGTTTTAACTTAAGAGAAATCCCATCCTTGTAGACCTAAATGCCAAATAGACTAACTTCTTTGTAATTTTTAACATCAGGGTGCTCACAACCTAGTTCACTATGAATGCTCAACCTATTTTTTTTACATTGACGTCTTTGAATAGAATTTTTTCGGAAGAATTCATAGTTTTATTCTGTGTGTCATTTTAATTGCCTTCCTTCCTTTCCTTCTTTTAACCTTTACATATTATATTGTTTAATTTCTTTAAGTGAAGTCAATAGTAGTATTCTAGCACATAAATTTTCTAACACATAAATTTTTGTCTGACAAATTATATTCCTGTGATTTTGTTGTTATTTTTCAGTGGAAGCCTGATGAACTTAATGAGAATACAGAGTTTGTGATGGGTGTAAAAGCAAACAAGTACGTTGCATAGTTATACATTAACATCAAAATATAGGGAACTGTTGTTTAAAAAGAAAAACAAAGAAAGAGCCTTTGTTACTCAATGATGTGTAATGGCAGAGTGGTTAACCTTTTAAGTCAATACTACAGTCAAATGAAAAAGTTAAAAACCAGCTTTGATCTCATCCAATTCTTTTGATGAATTCTTTAAAGAAATGTATGGAGAACAGTTTGAAGAACTTGTATCTGGATATTGGGGCTTCAAAAGTTAACACCTTGACTTTGCTCCAGTTTTTTTTGTTTCCTCAGGAGTTTAAATAGGTTGATGGGTGACGTACAGTACATGTACTGTTAGAGGGTTAACCCGGTGATTGACCAGCATCCCATTCAGGTGCAGGTCAGGTGGTGGAAGCAATATTCCTAGTTGCTTCATTTAGGCTCTGTTTTGTTTTTTGGCCTCCTTGGTTTATATGTACATTTTAGGATCTTTTATTTTTTATTACCAAAAAAGTACTATTTGTTGCAGTAAATTGTATTGTAAAAGTTACACATTTTTTTCCATCATCATTACCAGTAATTTTTCTATAAAACTACCTTTGTTGGTTCTGATCTTGCTCTGAGAGAAACACTGTTATCTTACAGTACTTATTTTGTTGTATTTCTGATAAATTAAGGGCCCTTGGTATGGCTGCAACTAGGGGAAAGATTTATTACAGGCATCCAGAGCTGTTCAAGGTAAAATTGATTTTTAAAAATTTCATGTGAAACATTTTTACTTTTTGTCATTTTTTTTGGTAAGCCAGTAATTCAGGAACAAAGCTGAAGTGAAGGTAAATAATAAGAGAAATAATAGTTGGCCCATGGCAAGTCAAGTTTGCCTGTCAGTAGGCTTAGACCATTGATTTTTCTCGACCTTTTAAAAAATGAGTCTTTGTTACTTCGCTGGAAACATGATCTCTTAACAACACCATTTACTCACTTCAAAAAGTAGCATCAGTCCTGTCCTGTTGTTAGCAGAAGGCTTAGGTAAAGAGCTTGGATTAAGCACAGAAAATCTTGGGTTAAGTCACCATCACTGGTTAAGTCACTGTCAACAGCAGTCCTATTCAGGACTACATTTACCCGGACAATCATACTCATCCTACTTACACGAGATACTGTTGAACATTACGTGAGAAAGAAATGATAATATGATTTTCACTTGAAAAGAAAGTCTCATAATACATTGTAAGTTTGTTGGCTTCTCTTTTAGTATTCTGGTGATTCTGATGACAAGCTGTGGCTTTATGAACAAAATGAACTTCCCATCACTGGAGGAAAGGTGTGTTGCTTCAGGTTACTAGAATATACAGTGTGGTATTGTTCAATTTGAATGTTAGGAAACAATAATTTTGTAGCAAAGCTGTGCAACATTCAATAAATCAATGAGATACATAGGCATCTTATGGTGTAGCATTAATGAAAGTTTATTATCATACTTTTTACTGGTACCCTCTTTTAACAGACACCTATTAAAGTTTGACCCTCCTATTAATGCCTATGTATAGTAGTAAAATCTTGAAGTTATCATCGTCAAAGTTTTTTTTTTTTTGTTATAAAGGCACCGAATAAAGTATGATAAAGTTACTTGTGTTGGCAAAAAAAATGCAGGAACAGCGACAACAACAATCAAGCGAGAGTGATGCAGAAACATGAAGTCTATGTACTAGTAAGATATAAACTCTATTTATTTTTGTAGGCTTTTCTTATGATAGCTGATGACATCAGAAAGCTGGCAAATCATGAAGACTACAGGTCAGTAATAAGCATTAAGATTTCAAGATTTTATCTCAGTTGTCGTTCACACTGAAGTTAGTTTGAAATGTCAGTCATCTCCACCCCTAATACACGTGCTGTTATTATGGTACTGGTATTTCAGTCTCAGCCTTTCAAATTTAAGTGGGGAGCAATGTAAATTGGAGAATGGAGTGAAAAAATAATGAAAAAGAGGGAAAGAGAAGCTCCATCACTGCTTTTCCCCCTTTTCTTGTATTGTTCTGTTGTCTTTTGTGCGCAACCCCTTTATCACCTGCCTGGATCAGACTAATTTAAGGTTGGCAAGAGGGATGATTGGTCAAGTGGTAATCAAATGTTGTGTGTGAACTTCATTCCCCATAGAGAGTGAAAGCTAATCTGGTGAAAACATTGGCTCTACAATCCTGGTCATAATTTGTTTAAACACTTCCAAAAAACACAGGATAAACTTAGTCGTTTTGTGAATACATATATTGCTTCCTTCACGTTCCTGCAATGTTGGTTTCACACGTTTGGTTAGGAATAAACGTCTTCAAAACCCACATTGAAGGGGAATTCAAAGAAAAAATTTGCAAGCGCTTCAACAATTACGACTGGGAATGTCTGGTTTTAGCAGGGACAGCCCTTCCATTTGTCTGGGGATTTTTTTTGTTATTTATTATTTATTTAGAGCTAGTTCTTTTAAAATCTATTATCACAGTCTTTCAGGGCCTTGCCATTATCTCTGGACACAAGTACTCCGAAATTTCTGTAACCAGTATCACATATCAGTTTTAGTGTGTGTTGGGGGAGGCAAGTTAAGTTGGTATTCCCTAGGCATAAACCCTCCTTCAGAATTTTCTGGATTTGCCCCTGATGCAAGCTCATTCTTGGAGAAAGAAAAAGTGTATGGAAGATTAAATTTTTCTTATTAAGTTGTTAATTTCCTTTCAACAGAAATGTTGTAGGTCTTAATCTGGAAGAAATCAAAGGATTTAAAGTTCCGCCTAAAATGTTGGAGAAGATCAGAAACCACATGAGAAGTAAGCTATGGCTGCCTGGTAACCTCAACTACACCAACCTTTACTAATCTCTCACATCTGTTTGCCTTTTGGTTGCAAATCTTATCTAACTAGAAGTGCTGCTTTGATTCTTTCTCTTTCTTATTTGAGTGATATTAAACAGGAGTAAGAATCTAACCATGCTTTTTGCAAGTAGTAAGTACAGTCACTGTTTTTCCCAATACACAAAGAACCCCTTAGTGGATTGTCTAGTATTAAATCTCCAGGGGGCGAGGTACTCAACAAAGTTTTATATGGGGATGCTCCGCCCCAAGGTCCAACCCGCCACCCTTTTATATACCATTTTTGAGAGAAAAGGTATGGCTTTCATAAAGCTTCTATTGACAAATGGTACCATTTTCACATACCCTGTTTAGAACTTTGCATCCCTTTTAACTGCTGTAAATGCACTGTCTTTTAAAATTAGAATAAACCACAAAACTAGAAAGATTTCTTGAATCACTGCCATAAAATGTATCTTTTAGCCCTTGGTCCTGTTTTACTGCCTGAAATAACAGATTTCCCTGCCCTTTCATAAACTCCAACAAGTGAAATCCCTACCCTTTCATATGGCTGAAGCCTGAAAAAGGTACCTCTTTTGGGCGGGGCCTTGCTGTATAAACGATTATAATGAGTACCCCCCAGAATTAAATCACTTCCCAGGGTGTAGCCAGCTTTTTGACTAGTTGTAGGCCTGGCTGACTTTCATTTCCACATATGCTGAAAATTGCACGTAATGACTAGTATGCGCTGACCGCACCAACACTTTGAGCTTTTAAGCTTTTAGCTCACGCTAACAACGTAGAATTTATTTCAAGCTGTAGGGTGATTAACTCAAAAATTTGTAGCCTACAGGTCTATGGGCTGGCTACCCCCCCCCCCCCCCCCCCCCCCCGGCTTCTTAAATCAAACCTTTTTTTTTTTTTTTTAAAAATTAAAGGGAAAAGCAGAATCCCGTTTTGCAATCAAAAAGAAGGTTAAAAAAAAAAAAAAAACAAAAAAAGGGGAAAAAAAGGGGGAAGAGGAAAAAAAAGAGACTAGACAAAGGGCCCTCGCACAACCACGGTATACAAAAAAAAGTTATTTTTTGAAAAGATTATATTAGTGTATAGTATGTTGTGGTATGTGTTTAGATGGATAGGCCGGAATATTGTGTGGGGAGTAGTAAATGTTGGGGGAGGTGGGGTGGGAGGGGGGGGGGGTGGGGAGGGGGGGGGGGGGGGGGGTAGCATGGGGGCGTGGCCATTAGTACCAAAATTGGGCAAGAGGAGTAGGAGAAAAGAGAAGCCTGAAATACCAACCCTGCGGAGGACAACGTCTTGTTTTTGTTACAACCCTGTTTAGAGCAATGGATAAGAAACACGGTCAGATGTTCCTTTTGGGAAAATTAAGAACGTTTTTACGATCAGCTCACTTAGACTTGCATTCTCTTTCTCGGACAGAGAGGCTATAAAAGTATACCATGTATACCCCGGTCGCTCATCCTTGTATAGACCAAATAAGGGAGTCCTCCCATCCCCAGGATCCCCCCCTTCCCCAGGATAAGAAACAAATCAGTCGTAGAATAATATACAGCCTTAGGTCCTGTTCGCACAACGACAAAAAATAGAGTTTGGCGTCTGCAAAAAATTTGAAAACTTTGTACTCACCAGTTTTTTTGTTTTTGCAACCTTGTTCGCATCTGAGACACGCGAATTTTTTTCGTCTAACCAGAAATGCCAAGTAAAGCAACTTTGATTGATCATGTTCGCGAAATAAGATGACCCGACAAAGGATAGCTGTCGAGGAACAAAGGAGGTTGTTGCCTGACAAAAAAATTGTAGGCTCTCAAATCTTCTCGATGGCATTTGTGAACTTTGGTGTCAGTTGAGAAAATTTTAGTCAGTGAAAAAAAAATCGTTCGCACTAGGAACGCCTTCCAGATGACAGATTTTTTTGCAAAACAAACAAAATTTTGCTTAGTGCTAACAGGGCCTGTTGGAAGGCCAATTACGGACATATATGTATGAAGTAAATTCCTTTTTTGATGAGACCAAAGTTATTCATTTATGTTATTAATTATTGCACAGATTAGATTATGTCATCACATCACAACAAAATTCAACTAAGGTATGAATTTTAGTGGATGTGATTATTGCATAAGATTTTTGTTTTTGTTTTTCAGTCTACATGGGCCATCCCAAATGGTTGTCTGTTTTGTTAGTATTTAATTTTACAATTCCCCAATATATATGTCGCCCTCGAATAACCGCCGCACCTAAGCAGACAAAACGCGGTGTTTATTAGAGAATCATAACAGAAAATCTGGGTACAGCTTTGTAATCTACACCATCCATAATATTTCTGTTTCACATATATTTTACAAATGATTTGCCATAACTGTTCTCAGTGATTTAAGACATGTAATTTTAGATCATTTTAGGGTAGAACCTGCCCTTGAATAACCGCTAAAAATGTAGTAAATGCAACTTGTCTTGCGGCATTCCTGCAAAACGAGTTGAACAGCAATGTTGCGCGTTTTACCACCCACATCAAACCTGTCTGGCAACAAATTAGGTTGTTAAGAGATTTGAACATTGGTGGTAAAACGCGCAACATCGCTATTCAACTGGTTTTGCAGGAATGGTCAGCAATGTTGCAAAACAAGTTGCACGTTTCTGTTGCCCGTTTTATTAGACACCTGGACGGGTTATTTTGAAATTGACTCAAACTTATCACAGCCGTGTATTCTATTTAGGAACGCTCTGAAAGGGCCTGACGGTCCTGATTAATAGTGAAATTCTCGTTACGTATGGATCGCCCAAAGTTTTCTTTCCAAACTTTTTATTGATTTGTTCAGTAACATTATTGAAAAAGGCAATGATTATTGTTAGAACTATGATATCTTACTATGGTATATGGTGTGTGGTAACAACCACCTTTAACGTCTTTGTAACAAACACCCCGGCTTTGTTCTTTATATATTTGTTGTTTACCACTGTACTTAATGTCTTAATGCGATTTAAATTTGTTCTCTGGATTGAAGCATTGTACAATTTTTGTTTGCATAACTTAGTAAGAAAAAACTGAATTGAATTTGAGATTTAAGAAATGATAACTGTCGCTTTGTAGAGGAATTTAGGACGTACAGAAGTCAAAATATTTGGGCATTTTAAAAGAGAAGTAAATGGTCGCATGCACCTTTGCTCTTGATATGCGCAACGTGCTCTTTTGTTACTAATTTCATTTTGCAACTTTTGTATTTTCTGAAATGTATCCAGATCTCTACAATCGCTCATATCACTGCGAAAGAGATTCTATTTCTGAATTAGTCTTCAAGGTAAACTTGAATTATCGAGACCTGTACTTGGAAAGCGAATTGCACGTCTTCCGCCCGCTCCCCCTCTTTGACCTAAAAATCCACGCACATACTCAAAGAAGTTCTCGATAATTAAACTGTTTCATAAATACAAAAAATAAAGATAAAGCATGCAAATTACTGCTGATCGAACTCTTCGGGATGATTTTCATGTCAAACGTAATCAAACGCAAAAAGTATGCGTTAAGTATACGATAAAAACTTCAGAAAATGCGCACACAATGCATCATGTTGGGCAATGTTATACCTAGTCCCAGGCTTCAACTAGGGGAAACCTTCCCCTGACAAAATGCCGCAACTTTTTGCTCATCGTGCACCAACATGGCCGCTAGCTACGCACCTTAAACCTTTATCGGCCCCGTTAACAAACAAGGCGCGTTTTACGTTTTACCACCAGAATGGTGCGCGTGCGAATTGAAGCTCACGTCACTTAACTCGGAAAAACGCACCTGATTGGTTGAATTTTGTGCGCGCAATTTCTTGTATTTGTTACGTCAAAAAAGAAACTTTTGAATTGAAAAACAAACTTTGAAATGTTTTTGAGAGAGGCAAAACATTTGCCAAACAAATCGACAATGGTAAGTGATTTTGGTTCTCTCCAACGAAGAACATAAAAAACCGAATAAGAAACTGAAAAGGTACGTATTTGCAAGATTTCTTCTTCCTTTTTTCGCCATCAAACAGAAACAGAAAAAGACAAACTGCAAAGTTTTGCGATTAAAGATCAGTCACACCCTGCAATTTGTGAAGGATATGCCCCTCTAGTTCTTAACTGATTCATTTGCGGCGAAACAGTTTCACTTGCCCCATCATCTTCTGTTTCTTGATCACCGATCAAAATGGACTCATCCATCTTCAACCGAGCAACAGAGGCCCAGCTCGGTAAAGGCAATACCTTCTTAGAAACGTCGACCCAGGAACCAAACGAGAACTCTTCATGGTCCTTAAATGTCACCATCTTCGTCGATTCATCACTGGCGCTCTCCGTAACATGCGTTCGCGTCTCATAAGGGTAGCAGTCTACAACCATGTTAATCTTGGGTGAGATCAGGTAAAGTTTCTGAATGTATCTCCAGGCTGTATCAACTTGTATTATGTGTTTTAGTAGTCCAGTTCGAGAGAAAACCAACTTTCTATGAGAACTTTGAGCGGCAGATAACTAACATCGCGATGGCGAATATTCTTAAGTGAACCAGAATCATACCATACTGGGTGCAATGTGTCAAATCACAACTCACAAAGTAGAACAATCAAAGAAAGAATGAGAAGTTTGGATAATTTACTTACACTTTTAATATGGTCACGACAGACTAAAAAGATACCGTTATAGTAATAATGTATTTATTAAGTGATACATGGGTATGATGAACTTTTACTCGTAACGCAGGTTTAATAAAAGAAAAAAAGCTACACTGAATAGAGCTGAGCAGCCGCTACAAAACAAGGTTGGCGACTAGAACTGAGGCCAGAAAAAACCTGCCGAAAAAACCCATTGGGAAAAATATGGCAGGAAATCTGGGTAGGAACCATGGCTCAAGCTTTACGTGATTGGTAGCCCATCCTACGAGGCTTTACAAAAGAAAATTAACCGATCTACTATTTATTCAAAACTGGAAAAAAAAAATCAAAGGAGAGAAATAAGAGGCAAGACCGGTGGCTACATTATTGGTTTTAAGGGAACGTTTACGAAGGGCCGACCATTTAAATTTGATGAGGGAGGGCTGGGAGAGCTGGCTCTTTCGTAGACTGCAAAACAGTCCGTATGATTGCGTATTCAAGTATGTACGCGCGAGCAGTCAAACAAAAGGTCTGGAACGAGGCTGAAAACAAAGAGCGAGACTGGACGTGTGAGGCTCGCGCGCTTCTCTCGCGTGAGAATCTTACGTCACGCTTTACCGATTTCTTTACTGATTTTGAGAAAAAAAAACCGACTGTTCTGCAGTCAAGCTTTTTTGATATATGTTGATACAAGATTGTTTAACTCTTTGCAATTGTTTTTGCCGGTCCACCTGTGTTTGCACTTTTTTTTTCCGACATCACACATCCCCCATTAAAAAAAAACGGTTGGTCCGTTCAGGGACTTCGTAATGGAAGAGTTTCTTCCTTTGCTCTTACGCAAAAAGAAAGTCTTGGGGCGAATCTGGCCTGTTTTGTACTCCTTCCTCATTACTTTCGATTTGGTTTCCTTGTCCTGTTTTAAGTTTTTACTCAGCCTGTTATGCCAAATTCTGTCGCTAGAATAGTTTTACTTGGAGTTTCAATATTCTTCATGCATTAGAAGGTTATTGCTGGCTATTTGTTTGTTAGAGTGAGAGATGAGCACTGCAAGCATAAGTAAAGATGAATTACGACACTCCAAGTAAATCCTCTATTAAGGAGCCCGTAAACTCACCTCCTCCTTCTTGTTTGAAAGTACAAAAAACACCAGATATTTTAATAACGGAGTAATGTTTGAGTTTCAAAATGGTGCCCCAATTTTTTAAAGTTGAGTTAGTCCCCAAAATAGTTTAAACCTTTTAAGTTGTGGAGAATTATAAACTTAAAATTGCTAAACTAATCAAATTCTCAAAAGCATAGCATGCTACTTGAAATAATTTTTAGGCCTGTGAGATCTCTGAAAGCAATCACTACCCTCAGGCTCCTGCTACCCGTTATTATCAGTATAGTCCAATATGCACTGTCTAGGTAGTCAAAACCACAGCAAAAGAAGCCAAGGAACTTGTTGGCCAATGGCGAGAAAATGCGAAACTGAACTATGGGACGTAATATACATAATTGACCACGGATGGCAGTTATGAAGTTAGAAAAAATGCCAATTATCTCATTTGAATCCTTCAAAAGCATATTTTAGAGCTCAAGAAAATAATGATTCAGTCAACTTCGTGGTCGGATCAGCAGATCAGGGTGAATAGGGTATTAAATTTCTAGCGAGGGTAAATAAGTATCAAAAGGTGACCCAGGAGGGGAGAGACGAAGGTAGGGCTGGTATGACTTTCATTGCGTTTCTCTGGTTTATACCAGCTTTAATTGAAGGAGTGGAGCAGAAAGGTCCTTTTCATGTATATGGCCAATAAAAGGATCTTGCAGCACCTAGTGCTTCAATTATATGAGCCGCTATGATAGGCTTTTTTTAAGCTCGCGCTTTTTTTTTACTGGCTTTTTAACATTATGGGCAGGGGAGGGGTTTTTAATGACCTCATGAATTATATAGATATAGATATAGATGGTTTTCTAAGGGAGTAATGATCAAGATCTCATGTTCATATAAGGTTTGGTGATATCATTATTTCCTTGAGCATTAGCCAGTTCTGTACTTAAACAGGGGACGGCAACGAGCAAATGGGAGTCTTTTTACAATAACCAATTTAAACCAAAAGTTAAAAAAAAGTAGTCCCTTTGAATTTTGCTCTGATACTGTGGTATGCAATTCTCAGGCTGTATAATTCGATGCAATAACGTAAAAAATTAGATTGCATGGACATTTAAAGTAGCAGAACTTATCTGTTGTGGTAGCATTGACGAAAGGGAAATTACTTTCACAGATTTCACATTTAATCAAATAGCTGTATTATAACTTTTTTTATAATAAAAATACAATATATTATCTCTTTAAAGTGAGCACATTGTATAAAAGTAGCTACAAGAATCCTCCCAAATCGTGGCGGACACGTCGACATTTTACCTTTTCCTATCTTTTAAATGCGTAAGGCAAACTAACTAAGTTACATTTGTATACAAGCTCTCTGGGCTTTTCCCACAATATAAATATGTTCAATAAATAAAATAATAAAGTCTAGCAACCTCCGTGAATTAAAACTGTACAGTTTCTCCCTAACGATAAATATATTCTACCCATAGCATGGACGTCTACTCTACAATAAGTTCATTGTTTTCTCCGGGAGCAAGTGGTACGCCTGTGCACTCTTTGAGCCTTTGTTACTCTTGTCCAGCAGAACAGGTAGCGGATCCCTCTCCTGGAACGAGATTGAAGAAAAGACAAAATTTGATGAAGTCTATGCTATTGAAAAAAAAGCAACAATAACAAACTAAACTATCAAAACAAAACCAAAAAACAAAACAAAGACACAAAAAACGGGTGTTTATTTAGTATAAGGATACCATCGTGTCACACATACATTTCGGTCTTCCTCTAGATGTCAGGAGCCCATAATCAGGAGAGAACAACTTTCTTGCAATCGTGTAACGGTCGCTGACCAGTTTATTTTAAGAACGATCTTGGTGCAAATTTAGAACATCTTTCAGGTCCAACAAACCAGCCAGCAAAGAAAACTACTGATTTGGTATTTTTGTCCTTTTAATGACGTTTAGTTTTTCTTTGTCACATCCTATATTTAAAATCGCTCATAAACGGAGCGAAAATGTGCTCTAAAATCCATTTACAAATACAGCAGCCCATGACATAGGCCATGGGCCCCTGCATAGGCGTAGCATGGGAGTTGCTCGCTCTAGGTTACGGGGTTCCTGAAATGTACATTATTGGCGCTTACCTTTTACAAGCACCATGCATACGGCTAAAAATCTCGTCCACAAACCTTTAAACATTTATTTTCTGGGGTTTTTTAATAAAACAATTATTCCACTCGCGCTTGTTGGATATGAGATGATTATAGCCAACTCGGTGCTACCGGCGTCGTTGGCTAACTAGCATCTCATATCCAACGCGCACTCGTGGAATAATTGTTAATTAGCTACCGTAAATCCTCTATTAAGCCCCCCGGGGAGCTTATTTATTTCAAACCCATTTGAGGGGGGGCTTAAAAGAGACGGGGGATTTATTTGAGAGGGGGGCTTTTTTAATTTAGAAAAGACGATGGTATCAATTCTCCATAAAAAACTTGAATACAATGTGGAAACGCTTAAAACGTACAAGAGGTTGGAAGTCATGCAGTCGAGGATCAAAAACAAACCCGAACTTCTAGTTGGTAAATAAACCATCCCCGATCAGTCCACGAGAAGTTTTATAATCGTGATGATTAATACAGTCTATCATTTTTTAGTGAAGAATATTTAGAGGCGGGGAGGGGGGGGGGGGGGGGGGTTAAGAGAGGGGGGGGCTGGTAGTTTTTTGCCGTGAGAGGGGGGGGGTTGTGGGGGGGGGGGGTTGTTGTGTGGGGGGGGAGGCGAGCAGTGGATAGGGTTTAGTTGTCACCTCACCCGGACAAGACTAG